AAAAGAAATCAACAAAACAGAGAAGTTCTGAATATTGTGAATTCAAAGGCCATCTCGAGGTGTTAAGAAAGACAAAGACAAGGAAGCTCGTGAGACTGTCAGTTGGAGCGACATGAAGAACTGAGAAACCAGGGATCTGAAGTTCTGAAAAATTTGTGATAGCTCATGACTGAGCTCTCTTTTATTGTTCTGGATCGAAGTTTCGTTTTTGTCGGAAGACGAGAAGCGTTAAGTTTCGCAGAAAGCGTAAGAATCCTGGTTCTAGTGAAAAAGCTTAGAACAATTAAGGTGGCAGTTAAAGATTCCAGAGGGGGCTGAGAGAGAACGAGATCGATCGGAGGTGTTGCAGCTCTTGAATCGAAGAAGTGTGCAGATATTTTAGGTGGAACTACATTGTTTCAGTACTGTGAAAGGAAAGCAATGAGGTACTGAGGGTGTCAGATGAACCACCAAAATTCTCTGATATTCTGATCAAAAAGAACATCAGGTTTGGGCTTGTAATAGGAGAAGTGAATTTCCCTGTTTCGATGGAAAGAAGAAGTTCTGGGTCCAATCTAAAATTATCTCAGTTGGGATCCATGACGCTTATTTCACGTTGAGCAAACTTAGGAAAAGCTCATATCAGACCAGATGTGGCTATCGATTACAGAGAGGAAGTGCAGTTCTGTGGGAAAAAATGAAAGAGCACTTTCAGGGATGATCCATTGCAGGGAAATAACTCAATGAGGCTGAAGTTGAGCTTAAGAAAAGAAATACATATGTCTGATGTATGAAAGGGGAATAAATCTAAGCTCATAACCGATGGAACTGAGATTTATGATGGAGTAATCTATCAGGTTGAGAAACTGCATATGAGGTGCTGTTCAAAGGGTCTGAGATTGAGAAACTGCTTCTGAGGTTGAGGAGTTTCTCTTCAAAAAGGTTCAAAGATGTTTTGCGTGAGTGAAGTAACGATCTACTTGAAGTTGATGCAAGAAAAAAAAAATTTCTCATCAGGAAAGGTTGGTCACGCATGACATGTGATCCGGTTTCGACTCAAGTAGTGAGAATCAGAATCGGTTCATCAGTTCACTTTGTGTCGGTAAATTGGAAACGCTTGGGTCTGCAGATTGGGTAGTTTCAAGATATTGCTGAACCAAAGAATGAAGCAAATCAACTGTTTTTTTTAAAGGTAGAAGCTGTCTGACTTGCCCACGGGATTGAAAGAAGACCAGAAGAAGCAAAAAAAAAAACAGAGAGAGAGATAGACAGCTCAATTCTCTGCCACAGAATTTCTGCTTGGGTTGGTGAAAATTCAGAAGATATGGTGATTATCAGAAAAAAAAATTGCAGGTCTTTGGTTAGCAACATCAGTGTCTTTAATCTGTGAGGTACTTGTGTTTTGATGAAACAGAAGGTGAAATTCATCAGGAATTAGCTCAATTGCAAACTGGAGAATGTTGTAGAAGTCCAGCAAGGTTTGAATACTCTCACGATTGAGGAAGGAGAAAGATATTCTGCAGGTTTCAAGCACAGTTATGTTTCAGATAGAGATCCCTTGGTGAGAAAAATACAAGGAGAAAGAGTGGTGTAAATCAGATTCATTTCTTGAAGAGAATCAGTAACTTCCCAATATACTTTCTGCGTTGTTTTTTAAAGGGGGATTTCGTGGTGAGTGATGGATATTGATTAAGAGAGCAACTTTGCTGGAATTCAGAAGAAGACAGATCTGTTGAACCAACTTCAGAGTCACGTTTAGAGGTTTGAAACCGTTCTGATCGAGCTGAAATTTTGTGTCAAGCTTCGTGACACTATTGTTTATAGAATCAACGGTGGGATCAAGATTCTAATGGTTGGTCTGAGACTTATTCATTCATTTTCGAGACAGATCAGCATAGAGAGAAAGCTGCGACCTGTATCATGAGAAAGTGTGTTTCTGTCGTCAAAAGAGATCGGTTTGATTTGAAACTTTGCAGAAGTAGTCTTATATATGGAACTAGTCTCAGTATAAAGGTGAGCTCATTTTGAGATTGGAATAAAGGTTGGCGTTTTTGTTGAAGTAGAGATAGTTATTTAAGGCCAACAAAGATCTGAAGCTAAATTGATTCTTCAAATGTCTTGGTGATTGCTTCTAAGCTGCTACCACGTCAGAAAGAGATTGTTCTGTGCGTACGGCAGGCTCAGACCCTGTTCCTATTGGCGACAGCAATATCTTTTTGATGTTGGGTCAGCTGCTTCTAAGCTATGTCACCTTATCGTCATCAGATTCAGATGTGTAGTGTCAAAGACCGCCATGGGAACTTGAGTGATAGGGTTATTCTTAGAAGAGGAACACGTTTTTTCTGGTGTTTTATCTTAGTTAGGTACTCAAGCAGGGAGAGATGAAGTCTTCTCAGTCAGCATACATAGGAAGAGGAACACTTTGGTTTTCAGGGAGAGCAAAGTTTCAGGGAGAGTAAGGTTTTGTGAAGGGTGAATTATTGAGCAAGGTTTCAGGGAGAGTAAGGTTTTGTGAAGGGTGAATTATTGGCATTGGCTTACTCTTGTGGTGCATACGTAGCTTGAGTATCAAACTAAGTTAAAAAGGGAGAGAAATGAAGTTGTGAGATCTTATGAGCATGGAGCGTCACATTGGCACCAGAGTTGGATTCAATAGAAGTTTGATCGTTGTATGCTTGAGGGAGAGTTTGCAGATCATCTAAATATGATATCTTGTGCATGTGTTCTACAACTCAGTAAACAAGGGAGAGATTGTTAGTGTAATGTTTAACTGAGTTTAGAACTTGCTGTGTTAGGTCATTCAATGGCACTGTAGTACCATTTGACACAGATGCTAAGTGTTCTACAAATCAGTCATCAAGGGAGAGATTGAAAGTGTTGTGCTGACTGACTTGAGCATCTGTCTTGAAGTAGTTGCTGTATCAGACGATGTATCATACGATGAGTCAGTCGATGAGTCACTCGGTGAATCAGTCGATGATTCAGTCGTCGTTGTTTTAGGAAATATTGACATGTGGGTCCAAAAGCCCAAGAGGATGGAGAAATCACGTGGGCTTCAGCAAACTTAGGGTTTTGACCCTTAACTATATAAACCAAGAGACAGCCACAGAAACAGGTGCGCGTCTAGGGTTTATCATGAGATGAGAGATGCACACAGGTGTGTGACGTCGCCCCATCATACAGGATTTGTAGATCTATTGGTGATGGTTTATGGAGTATAAACACATCTGTGAGATGGTGTTTATATCGGTTGTAGCCGAGCGGTAGACTTTGTAGAGATACCGTGTCCACTCATTATTCATCTAGAAAAGAGTGGTAGGCATTGTAGTGTTGGATACCACCGCAATTGTAATTGCAATCTTGTTCTAGTGGATTTGTTCTGGACTAGGTCCCGGGGATGTAGGGAAACCGAACCTCGTTAAAAACTCTGTGTGTGCTCCTTACTTTACATGCTTAATATGTTTGTTATGTTTGCTACATCGACCACACATAGACTAGGCCACAAATATGCACTTTCATGACTTTGTTTCCCTTTTTTCGCCATAATTACAGTATTTGAATTTTCATAAAATAGGATTTGTTTTGGTAATATGTTAAGACATAAAATAGGATTTGCATATATATATATATATCAAAGCATTCGTCATAGTTCCACGACGGAAGAGTGAAAGACATACATAGAAGAAAGAAAGCAACAGAGAGATGGGCAAAATGTATACTCTCAAGTCTCTCATGATCATTTGTAGGTTCATGTTTGCATTGTTGATTATGAGATTAAAATCAACGCAAGCTCAACCACCATGTACTATGGAAAGACTTTATGATGAATTTTCTTATTGTGCTGATTCGCTCATGTTAGGTACACCATGGGTTCCTCCATCAAAAAATTGCTGCGAGTATATACAAATTGATAGTATGTCTTGCTTCTGCAAAGACGTCAATAAAGATTTTTCAAAATTTTATGACGTGAACAAGCTTTTCAAAATCTCTCACGAATGCGGAAATCTACTAATTCCTGGATCTTTTTGCGGAAGTAAGTATCACTAGAACTATATAGCCTTTTAAGTCTAGTCATCTTCATACTTATCGAAATCACATTTGTTTTTATGTCTCAGTCTACGAGGTCCCTGGTGGTGCGTGAGAAAAGATGGGGTGCATGTGATATCTTGTCTCTATTATTCCTCTATCTATAAATAAAAATCAGAAAAGTTACATTATTACCAAAAAAATACTATTATCACCTTATATTCTATATCAGATTGCCATATGGTCAAAGACTCAAGCATAAGATTGGCTCTTTTGGTTAGTAATTGATACATTAATAAAAATTGCTTAGTTTTAAATATGCCGATTATTAACGACAAACTTTACTTCTTCGCAAGTTTTTGGTCGTAAGTATAAATGATATTTTTGCAATGGAAAATTATGACGGCTAAATCCTTCACAAGAGTATCGTGAGGTTAAAACTAATATTCGATTTAGTCAATATTTTTGCGACAAAAGTGTGACATTATCCTAGTAGTTGCAGAATTGACGTCCTATTGTCATCGTAAAATGTCACAAATTATTGTGACAGTAATAAGAGTTGCAAATTTCCATCATAAAGTGACAGACTCTTTGTTGTCATATGGTAAATGAGTCATTTGCAAAGAGCTGCAAATTCTCCGTTTTAAAATATTATGAGGCGGTTTAAAAAAAACAAAAAACAAAAAACAAAATATTTACGTCTTCGCATAAATGAAAGAAAAAAAAATTATGAGACCGAAGACATATAAGAGTAAGAAAGAATGAGATAGATGATGAAAAAATAAAACGTGCAGAATGAATTTAAAAACCACTTGTTAATATATGTATTCGTTATAACATTCAAATCCAAAATTCTCATTGCTAGAGTCTAGAGAGAGACCTCTTATCTTACCTTATATTCTTATTATGATCTTTAGATTCTTTACTATATGATTTTGAATTTCTAGTTTCTGTTAATCGAAATTGAAAACTTGTACAAAATTACTCGTTAGAAATTGATTATCATTGGATTTATTAAAAACAAGAATGCATACATATGCGTACATTATCATTGGAAATGAGTTGATGTTGTAAATACATACATATGCAATACATTTTATGGGAAACTTGTGACTTCATATTCATGCTCGATCTTAAGAGGAGATTCCTTGGAAACAGGTCGGTCTTCAGACCATAGCTCCAAGTTAACGGTTCCACAGTCCCAGTGGACAATACATTTGAACACCTGACTAACCTCGAACCTGTTTACCAGCCGTAGATTGAGGCTCTTGTCCACCAACATCCATTCACCTGACAAAAAAAAAAAAAGATAATTACCACACAAAGAAAAGGTTAGTGGGTCATGACTAATGTTGATCAATAAGGAAAGGTTCTTCAAAGGCAAAGGTTAAAGCCAAAGCCTCTAATGTTTCTCTCTTCTATTTCTATTGTTGCTATTGATTAGAATATGAGAACAATATGAAGAGCATACAGGTACTTACCATGTGGCAGGTTGTTCCCTTCATATAACTGCTCTCCAGATTCTGGCCATACTTCATGCTTTGTACCATCAACCGATGTGAATGAGACAAACGATTCGATTGGATGCATAAGACAGAAAGTTGGATGGACTCTTAAGCATACCAGCCTGCACCATCATTTTCCATACACAAAAAAAAAAAGTTAAGACAGAGAATTTGAATCATAATCTCGGCTTGAGCTTCTCGTTCCAACAACATAAGAAAATCCAAGCATCCGTTACATTAGTTGCCACTGATTAAACTTTTCTAGTGGCTTGTAAGCGACCTATTATTCGCAAACCTTACTTTAACTACACTACAAGATTACTATAGACTGTTTTCTCCAATGTTCCGCTACGGTTATGTAACCTTGCAAGAGCTAGTGGTCAAAAAGATTACTATAGATAGTTTTTTCAATGTTCTCTTACGGTTATGTAACCTTCCAAGAGTTGTCTGAAAGCTAAATCTTGCAGATTGTCTTAGTTACTCGAACGATGTAGATAAACTGTTGCAAAGACATAGGTATAGTGGTAAACGAAAATTTGTTAAGAAAGCAGACAGACCTAGAAAATCCACCAGAACCAGCACCAACACTACGGGCTTCAATGCTAGAGGCTATCTGAAAAACTCGGGGATTGTCTTTAGGTATGGCAATTTTACGTTGAAGAACCAGTCCACCGCCTACATCACCTTCTAGGATAAGAGATTCTTCTTCTCCTGCATGTTCCAAATCCCTCCTACACGAGATGGAACAATAAATTCAGTAACAGATGTAAATATACTGCAGAGAGTGCTGCTTGGGATAGTATAAGACTTTGTCCCAATTTGTGTTCATATCAACAATCATCCATACATTAAATGTGCATCTGTTAGAGAGATTGTCAACGTAAACTCACTCAATAACTTTATATTCCTCCGTACATCCAGCTGACCGGTACTCAGTACCACTGTACTCTTCATAACCATTGATATCTATCCTGCTATGAAGCCATTGAACTCCTGAAGATCGTAAACAACCAAAATTGCAATCTCAGCAAATTCTATATGCCAAGTGCTCGTCATGGCAGCAGAAGTTTAGTGAGAAAACTAATAAGGAACGTGACAAAATATAGAAAAACAACCCCTTTTTGAAATGTGGAAGAAACCAGAAACTCACTTTCTACAAAAAGATTATTACTATTTAACAAAACAACTTATTAATGAAAAGTCAGTCATTTTCTTTGGGTCAATGAAAAGTAATTTCATTAGAGGCTGATAACAATTTGCTGGAGCTCAATAGAGGCTAAGATTATTTACTTCAAAAAAAACATAACTTGTGTATGATCTTAAGCCTCACGCACAGAAATGTTAAATGTATCTCATTCATTCTACAACTTTTCCAAGCTTTACTAGTAGACGACTAAACAGTTTATCGGTATATTACCTGATGGAACATGAGTCATAGATAATATCCTTCCACCAATCCAAGGAACTATATTAAGTTTCCAGTTGCCACTGTTTAGCTCAACTGGCACTCTTGAAAGTTCCATTCCCTTTTGTCCATGGAGCACTTCCTTCTCAGGTATCAGTTTTGTATTTTCTACATTTCAATAATACACATAGAAGATACTATGCAAGTAAACAACTATGAAAATTATAATTCGGATGTAGCTATTTCATGATTTTGTTCACAAATTCAAGCAGCTGGATATTGATCAAAAGAATTATTAAAACGAAAATGACAAGTACATACTCCGAAAAAGGCTAGCTGCTATTCTCTACAAAGGTGTGCAGTGTGTACAGGTTCAAAGAACTATAGATATTGTTTGCAGGCTGAAGAATGTAACAAGGTATTATGTCGAACTTGAAAATTGGAGTGGACTAATAACCAGAAGCAATATATCTCAATACTACAAGTAGCTACAGATATATTCAGAAGATGAGTTTTACCCATATGAAGTTTAAAGCGCTCATTGCTCGTGGATATTAACTCTGAAACTTCACTTTCAGAAGGCACCTTAATCTGGATAATCTCTCCATCCATTCCCCAAGCATCAAGCTGTTCAACAACATGTAAATTCAAATGTTTTGAGCCTATAGATACACTGGATTTTTTTTTTTAACAAGAGAAAGAGCAATACCATTGCACCTCCGCCGAGCAATAACTGAACATGAATACATCGCTTTGGCCTCTGCCACTCTCCTTCAGTTTTTAAAACCTTCACAGTAACAATGGAAGAATGTCGCTCAGCAATATAGTGTGTAATTAAATATCTGCCTTTGGTGTAGCCATATCCATCTCCATCATCTTCAAATAGGAGTCCTAAAGCTTTCCCTGACAGAAAAAGAAAAAAAATATCTTATCCTGCTGATTACGAAATTCATAATATGAACATAAAATCTGACAAGACAATCAACAACAAGTTATAGAGCCCAATACATGATCCTGACCTTGGGAATATGAAAAATTAAGAACTGTCGAGAAAGACCATATAACCAGCCTACTATGCATACAAGTTGTCTGAATCAGAAGCTCAACTTACCATTTTCATCTAATGACACAAGTAGGGTTAAGTCATCTGACAGACTAGATTCCCCAACATGTAGATGTGGAGGACCAACTGATATGATGGATCCACCTTGTAAGTATAATGTCGGCAAATCCTGACATCATGATTGGATTAACCAACATGTAGAATATACAAACACAATTGAACTTCTTCAAAAATACAGAAGAGAGAAGAGGAAATCGAAAGTGTCAGTAACCATACCGGATGTGAATCTTCAAAATCAAACCTCAACCAAATTCCTCTGGGCAATATATGCTGCAACTCGTGTGATCCTTGATTAGAAAAAGTGCTAGCCAATGATAAAACAAACCAAAGACAACGTGATGAGTTTTGGTTTGGCAGTTTATAAACTACACAGCAATTATAAGGATGAATAAACAACATATTTTCCTGAAAGCTTTTACAATAAATGACTCAAAAAGATACCAGACAGCGAGAGAGACAGATTAATAGGTGAAAGATTTATGATAGCCGTAATGTTATCCAGTCGTGATAATCAGAAAATTGTTTGATTTTAGGCCACTTGAAACACCTTTATGACCAATCCTCGTTACTTGTCAATCAGTGTACCTAAAAAATAGATCTAGTTCAACATTCTAAAACTCTCAAATCTGATCATTTGTACCGAAGTAAGTGAACACAAATCACATAAAAGATTTTAACTCATGAAGCCCGCAAGCTTTGAGAAAAGGGATGCAATGATTCAGAAAATCAAGATGCAAAAAAGGAAGATTCATTATTCCATGTCTAGGGAAGAAGAAAACCTTGCATGGATAAGAAGTGAACCCAAAAGAAAGGCATTTTCAACTGTCCTTAGCCGGGAATCTTTAGGATCTGCATATACGAAGTCAAGAAAGAAAAAGAGAGCCTAAGACATTATTGCATAAGTTCAAAAGATGCAATACAATATATCACACAAAGGTTACCAGCAAAAAAGATCGGAGCTGCAACGGGAGCACCAGTTGTATGAGCAATGTAAAATAGGGTGTAAAAATGTGGTAGGAGTTGGTAACGCCTCTTCAGTGCGGCACGACAGACTTCCTCACACTAATTAAAAGACAACAGTTAATAAGTAACAAAATAAAAATAAAAAAATCCTTGAAACAAGAATGGTTGATTTTGTATAAGAGATTGCAAAGTTACTAGTAGTTGCAAGTTCTTTGGAGAAAAGGTAGTATTTGTCCATAGCGTAAAAAAATTGAATTGTAATGCTGAAATAGGAAAAAACCACCTCTTCCCCAAAGGACCATGGTTCATGGTCATCAGTACCAGCCTCAGAATGACCACGACAGAATGGAAACATAGCTCCAACACCCATCCATCTTCCAAATAGCCGCGGAGTGGCATTGCCAGCAAAGCCACCAATGTCTGGCCCTGATAAGGGCTGACCACTAAGCCCCTGAATGCAAGTTATTAACGGTGTTGCGGATTGTTAATTATGGCCTGAGCAAGAAAAACTTTATCATTTCACATAGTTCTTTGCCAAAATTAAGAAATACAGAAAAAGAAAAAAAACAAATCTTTACTCATTTCTGCTGTTAGCTCTACTAAAGTGAAAAAGAAATATAAGCAACACTAGTATTCAAAAGAATAAAAGGAAATTACTAATGTAATGAAATCAACCAAAGCAAATGCTCGTGACTACTAATTCTTAGGTTCTCACTTGAAAAGATAAATAAGGAGTATTAGGTGGACAAACTAGACTAACATCACTCATCATAAATGATAATCACACACCCAATGTTTTAATTATGTGATAAGGATGCAGTGGACTCTTGAAATTCTTACCAGCTGAAGTACCATGGATATAGACATATGTAAATGTTCCCAGGTTGAAAGGTTATCTCCTGTCCAAGTCGCAGCATATCTCTGGCTACCTATGAATCCAGCCCTTGTCAAGACAAAAGGTCGCTTATTCTTATCAGCTAGCTCCATCCCTTCATAAGTTGATCTTGCCATCAGCATCCCGTACACCTAGACAGGACAACGGGAAATTTTGATAAAATTAACTAAATACAGGTATAAAAGGTATCTTTCCTAGGCAAAACGCATCTACATTCAATAACCAAGTTCTTTTCACTTGTTTTTCAAATGTCCTTTTTTATCTCCTCAAATTTAAATTACCCTCAGCATAGACATTCATAAGAATCTTCTAGTAAGCTCCAAGAGAAAATTTCAAGAGCAATAACAGAGTACAATACAAGACGAGTAATAATGGCCTGTATCTGTCTATCACCCTATATCTATATATACATACTCCAGAAAGCAAGGACCTACAGCATGTTTATATAACTCGGATAAATTCAAACATGCATAGAGATAATTTGAAACTTGATAGAACAAGAGAAATACATTGTGGTAGTGTGAGTGGTTTTGAACACCTCCAAGCTCATCATCTCCTCTGTGAATATTGTTTTCAGGCATCGTCTTTGTCACGACCTGGACATTGACAAATAAGACCACATGAAAACTCGATAAACAAAATTATTTAGAAAATTCCAAAGGATGAAAGCAAAGTATACAACGATTACTTTAAAAATGGCTGGCTCATTCATATCATTCCATATACCATCAACACCATTTGAGATAAAGTCCTTAACCAAATTAGCCCACCAAGAGCGAGCTTCAGAATTTGTATAGTCAGGGAAAACGCATGGCCCAGGCCATACCTCACCTAATGAAACCAAACATAAAATTCTGTAATTTCTGAATAAATTCAAAGAAACATGACAAGACAACATGAAAATCATAACAAGGAAATGAAATACCAGTAAATGGCTTCCCATCTTTTCGTCTAATCCAAACGTCATTTTTACTTCCACCATCGTAGACATAATAACCTTCCTCCTTCTTTATTCCAGGGTCAAGCATCCAGATCGCTTTGAAACCATTATTATGGAGATGTTTTGCCAAAGCACTAGGATCCGGGAAACGCTCCTGAACATAGCATTCCATATAATGTCAATACCTAAAACTTATAAAATTTAGCCTATGTAAACAATGTTAAGAACGGATAAAAATCCACTTGGGACTAAAGAAAAAATATGCCTTGTCGAATGTAAAACAACGAAAGCCATCCATGTAGTCAATGTCCATCCATATCACATCAGATGGAATCTTCTTGTCACGAAATGTTTCAGCTATCTGCAATCATCAACACAATGATGAATGGCATGACAGGGAGGCCCAAAAATTTCAAACACTGACCATAACCTTTCATTCTTTCATTAGCTCAACCAAACAGCCATAACAAAAACACTGACCTCGGCTACTCGCTTGTCAGACATATAACTCCAACGGCATTGATGGTAGCCTAAGGCCCACTTTGGAGGCATAAAAACAGTTCCTGATAAGTAAAAATTATAAGTTATGTAAAGCAAAGTGATGTTTACTAAAAATAGGAGAAAGAGAGAACAAAAGTAAAGAGGAAACACTAGTCTCAAACAACATGTCACTTCTAGTCACCCAGCCAGGTCAATAGTTGAAATATGAAATGTTTCAATGGCATAAAGAAGAAGCAGAATTAAGAAATTACCAACGGCGTGAGACAGGGATTCCAAAACAGCAGTCGGTGAGGAGAATGGACCAAATGTGATTATTGGATAGGATGTTGGTGCGATAATTCGTATGATTCCCTCTTTCCTTAGATCAATCTAAGGGCAAGAAAAATATGTTATACAAGGAAAATCACAGATTAGATTGCAGAGCAAGTCCGCAAAAGAGGGCTGGCACCAGCTAGGATATTCATATACCTCACACTTTCGCGTTGTATCAGCAAGAACACCTAGTGTTTCTCCACTTGGAAGGACGGCTAGTACCCATGGATGTGACTGGTACAGTGAAGTGGTTCCAGACCCATATCCCCATGCATCAGTGTTCCATGTAAAAACCTGAAAAATATGTTCACCAAATCAATTAGGTGGAAAAAAAGAATAGATGATGTAATGTAAAGTGAATGAATCTCACCCGTTTCCCTGTTCTCTCCAACTGGCCACCAACTTCTCCAGTACCATAAAACGAAGTTCCCGGAGAAAACTGCATCAAAACTTAGCATTAAAGGTTATAACTTTTTGCTCCCGACTCATAGCTAAACTGACACATTTATAAAACAAGTTGTAAAACATAAAAGAAAATAGAAAGGCTAACCTCAAAGGTGACGACTTGTTTCTCCTGAAGACAAGCACAAGTAGGAGTATACGCTGGAACATTGTGACTTATAATTGGCACTTCACGGTCCTTGCTGTTCTTAAAAGAAACACTTGGAAACGCTGATCTTCTATGCTCCACAGAACAGTCAAACCGGAAAACTCCTTGCTCCAAGATTGGCTCAAAAATCATACCGGTTGGAGCCATCTCTATAGTTTCCGAATCATCTCCACGTAAAGTCATCCTAACTAAAGATCTGTTTCCCTTTCTTCTGCATGCAAGGTGGTAGTACTAGTAAGTACTCCTTGTACAACTCTTTTTTAGTTCTGTATGACATCTCTCCCAAGCAAATAAGGGCATAAAGAAAGAAACAATTAGTCTCTATCTAACGAGAAAAGAGAAAGACAGATCATCATGTCGCAAAATCCAAGCAAACTAATTAGAGTCTAGTCTTAGTTCTTGTGATTGTGTATCATTGCTAAGCCTAAGCAAAAGGGAAAATCAGATAAAAGATTAGACGGAAAAAAGAAACACATACTCTAACAAATAGTCTCCAGCTTTTAAACATCATACTCTAACACAGCAATCGTTAAGCTTTAATTTGATTTCTTTTTTTTTAATTCAATGTTCGAATAGAATTAATACTCATTTTCGTCAAAAAAGCATTGATAGACACCAAAAATAGTGGCAATTACCCAGAAATCAAGCTCAACAATCAAATTAATCCTAAAAATGAGAGAAATCAAAGAGGAAAACTGTAATGGAGCAAAGAAACAACCTGGTAACGACGAGAGCGGAGGATCTGATTGCAGGAAGGAAAAGCGACGGAGCGATCGGATTCAGCGACGGAAGAAAGCGATCATTAGAGAAGAAGGAAGAAGAAGAAGAAGCTCGAGCTCCGCTAGTGAATGATGACGATGATACTACTCCTGCTAGTTCCATTGGACTCGGCTCAAAGTTGTGATTTTTTAATATTACTCACCGATTATTTCCACTTTCTTTTCTTCTTTTTTTTCAACAATTTTCCACTTTCTTTTCTTTTTGAGTAATAATTAAGGAGGACGAATATGAAAAAAAAGCTTTTCACCAAAACAAAAAAAAAACAAATTAAAACTTGATAAAAGTAGTGCCATAAGAATTATATCTATGTGCAGTGCAGATGTTACTAAGTTTATTGAAAGATGATTAAATATGCAACCTTTACATTTCCAAAGGTTAACTTAAGAACACAAAGTTTAAACATGAAGACCAAAAACAAAAACAAAAACAAAAAACTCGAAAAATGAAAAATCTAGAAAACCATCAAAAAATCAGTTCTAACTAATAATAGATAAAAAGCACTACTAAAAACCAAGATATGATATTTCATATCATCCCAATTTTTTTATGTTTTCTTTGAATCCAGTTATTTGGCATTTTATAGGAGACTGTTATCAAAAAGTCCTCCAGTCTTTCTTAGCAAGCTCATGGAACAACAGCATCAATGAATTTTGTTGCATGAAATTATAATGCTCCTTCAAATGTTGTCCAATATCCAATCAATTCCACAAACATAATTAATCTTCAATCTACATAGCAAAAAATCGTTTAGAATAAAATGTTCCAATATAATCTTTACGATTATAATATCACACTTGAGGAAACAAAAAAGAAAAAAAAATTGTTTGTAAACAGCCCAAAGCCTAAAAAAGAAGAAACAAAAAATGCATATGATGAACCCAATGCAACTGGTATAAATTTGGCGGGTATCTACAGTCACATAAACTGTTAAAGAACCTCTTATTTCCCATCTTTACATAACCAAAGTGACATGACTAGACACTTTGGATGGTGGGGAAAATAAAAATGAAAATCTACTTTTTGTTTGGAATGTTATGTCAAATAGATTCAATTTGGAATAGTCTTATATATGAAACCAAATTTCAGAAAACTGGCCTAAAATTGTCTTGATTTGTAGGATGCAAATTTGAACCGGTTTGCTCCGCATATCTTTGGTCCATTACAACATCCACGATCAATTTTTGTCGTTCAAAGCGTCCACAATCTTAACACATACAAATGCTTCTAATTAATTTAAATCTGAAATTTATGTAACACAATATATAATGTATATATATATATAATATAGCAAGACTTTATCATTATATATCAAAGCCCTATGAAGTTGGCCATATAAATGATCTTGATTTTTGTAGGATGCAATCATGCAAGTCTGAACCTGTTTGGTCCACATACTTTTTAGTCCATTACATCATCCACAATCTTAACACTTACACATGCTTCTAATTAATACAAATCTTAATCTGATATAACACAATAATATAGTATAAGATACCATATACCAAGATATGTAATTATATTGCTAGAAAGTTTATCAGAATAAAACAAAAAAAGATGGTGAAAATTATTAAATTGGAGTGGCATTTCTGTTTGAAAACTGATATTTGGAAGACAAGAAGATTATGTTTATTGTGTGTGTTCAAGATATGAAAGGGACAGCTTGTAGGGTTAATACAACCAATTCAAGCTAATTGTTGAAGATAATATAAACAGAAAAGGTAGTTGTCTTTTACTATCACTATTTAGTTTTTGTTTTTCTTTTGTTTGTTTGTTATTATTGTTATGATTTTTCTTTATCACCTTTCTTTACCATATTTACCTATATCTGATTCAATCTATATAATAACTCATGTTTACAGATTACAACCGATATGATTGTGATTTGTGAATAACATAAAAATAGAGGTATTGTTTTAATCTACACTAATTTTGAAGGTGTAAAATAGGTCTAGATAATTATAATTTTTTGAGATACTAGTAATGAAAATTTGATAAACCGTGTACATGAAAATTCAGTATGCTTGCGTAAAAATGACGTTATATCTTACTATAGTGATGCATGGCTTTATGATATCCTCAAAGAACAGGAAAATCAAATATGCGGATACCAAAAGACAACATATCGTCTTCTTCCACATTTCTCGAGCAAAAACCTAGTTAATATACCATACATTTGTGGACCTGATTTGTATCACAAATTTCAACACTACAACTATGAAACGAAGACATTTCTACATAAAAATGAATAAATAAATCAAACAGATAATGTTAACTAATTGGGACTAATCGATACAAATTGGAAAAGTTAAGAAATGATAAGTTAGTGGAGGAGGAAAAAGCAGAGTCAGAATTAAATGAAAGACGAGCTTAAGAACGTGTATTTATGCAAAATATTCAAAGAGTTGCATGAGGTTGGGCACGTGAACTTGCTTCACTCTTCAACCTACAGGTGGACCCTCTCCGTCCATGCGCCAATCCATTAATACTTGCATTTATATTGTTCTTAATATTGGAATAGTTTGTAAATAAATACCTTTATGTTGTTTTCTAAATGATATAATTTATATTACATGCATTTGAGTTAACTAAGTACCTGCTTTTATATAATTTTTAGGCTTCACAAATGCTTCTTATAATAGGTGTGCTTTGGATTGAAAGCCTTAGCTTAATACGGATCCATACTAAGACGTATCAAACATGGGAGATGAGTTATGTTTGGTTATATATTAGTTTTAATATAAAAAAAAATCAGTTATCATTACAGTAGGGAATGTGATGCAGCGAGATATTCCAAATATCTTTAAAATTTATTTATATATTTAGATAATTATTATTTATTTATATTTTAATTATATTTATATTTATCTTTTAGAGTTTTTTTAGAATATTTTAGAGTTTTAGAAATTTATTATAAATAATTTATTTAGGGTTTTTATTGTAATCATTTATGGTTTGATTAATTAAAGAAGATTTTTTTAAAAAAAATTGATAAATTACTGTGATTCATAAACTCTAGTTTCTAAATATTTTTAGAATCAATGGATTTAGTTTTATCTCTAAAAGCTTCGGCTCCATCAGGATGTATGCAGGATCTACCATTTCATGGTCATCAATTATAACTGCGGTAGCAAATAACTGTATCAAATTAGTGTTATTGTTTATTTTTTGGTATTGCTATTTAATTACTTGTTATCTCTTATCTTTTCTAACTACTCTGGTAACGCTTACCGTCTCTTTCCGCTATAAACTTTTATTGCTTTGTGTACTAATCAGACTTCATCTTATATATATGATTAAATATGCATGGCTACCTTTTTGTATGTCTAATTGTACATACACCCACAAACATATGATGTAAATAACCATATTCTTTTTATACAATTATAGGTATCTTTTGCACGTAGGATTCCGACAGAGTTTCATGGTGTTTGGACACTTTGTATATATGTTGGAGGTTGAGCTCAAGTGTATAGGTGTGGGATTGTCGCTTCTTCCTTTGGTCGTACGTGCAGGTGTTTGCATGTATATAAATGTATGCGTGTGTATGTATATATGTGGGTGTCCAACATATCTGGAATTGATGAGGCAGTTGATGGAAACGATGAAGGAGAGGTTGGAGAAGATGAAGAGGACAATGAGACAACAGAGAGCAAAGCTTCATATCATCAGAATTTGCATCACTTTGCTTATCTCTTCTGATAATAACTCTTGATCTCCTTTTCTTGTTAATTGTTAACAATTCCTTTTTTAACTTAGTTTTTTAATCAGTCATCGGCATTTTTGCTTACATAATGTAATAAAATGTAATCGTCGGACTTGTACATATATTGTAAGCTTGAATCAATACAGAAGAAAGGTCATTTAATTTCTTTTCAAATTTCAGCGACATATAATCCTCAAGATCTCATGGACAATTTACCTGCCAAAGTATAGTACCCGCTACAGTCTAAATTTACCCCAAAATTAACGAAATATATTGTTATATGAAGTACTTGTATATATATATGTTTAGTACTTGTGTGATTGATAGGATAGACTTAAGGTGCATTTATAATCCTTATTGAATGGCTATAACTATTGGATACAAGTATATATCACTTTATTTTGGATAAGTAAAAGTAAAACACTATCAAAGACTAATAATAATAGTTCGTTTATTTTTCAGCAATATTACTTCAATTAAAAGGCCAACACTTATCTTAAATGTTATAATAAAAACAGAAACAAATAATGGTACTCGATAACCCGACCAGTACCAGCACCAATGGGTAACAGCTGCGTGAGGCATCATACGTGTACAACCAAATGAAACACCATACGTGTACAACCAAATGAATCGAAGTAACAAAGTCACAACTGCTTAGTTTAAGTTCTTTTTATGTCCCACACATCTACACTTAGTGAAAGGGATTAAACAAACACTTGACCCAAAGACCCGACAATTACTTGAGTTGTGTTCATTCTTGATTCATATCTAGGGGTGTTAAGCAGGACAATCCAACCCGATTCTGAATTATTATCCAAAATATCTTGCGAGTCTGAGCCCATTTTTTCTAACTCACTACAAATATATATATATATATATATATATATATATATATATTAATTTCTCATTGACATCCATGGAAAAATGGCCAAATTTCATAGTAAAGTTTTTTCCGACGACCAAAAATTTATCGGAAATTTCTTTGCTAAATTTTGGGATTCAAACCCAAAATAGGTTGATTTTAAGACTGGCTGGAATTTACATATCATTAGTCAACAACAATAAAATTAGAAAAGAACAAATAATATAGAGCTTAAAGATGATATAGTACTATTGGTTCCAAAAAAGCTTATCAGATTGATGTCCAATTATTTATGGATTATTTTAATTTAAGTTTAACAACAAATTCGTGCTTGAGGCTCTACTAAGACTTTCATCCTATGGCCACAAACGTAGCCATCTCAAATTTTCTGTTTTGTTATGGACGAAAATGAGAAAATGAAGAAAAAGTCTTAAACTTAGAAATGTCAAATCGGGCAAAATCGGAGAAAAATATGCATGTAGTAACATGCTCTATATATGAGAACTGCGAATAGGAGTTGTATTTGTACATATGTACAAACACGTAACTGTTCGACTTGTTTTATCATTACCTTTTTTTGGGGTAGAAAACGTGATAAGTGAGAGTGATATGTGAAGGCAAAGCGAGTGAAGGAAGAAGACAAGAGAAGGAAAACAAGTAAACTCAGCTTTGTCTTGTCCATCTTCTGTAGAGTGGGATTCCACTTTTTTTGTTCTTGTCACCTCTCTCTCTCTCTCTCTCTCTCTCTCTCTCTCTCTCTCTCTCTCTCTCTCTCTCTCTCTACCCACACGTATACTTAATGACCACTTTAGCCTCTATATATTCCACAACTCTCTGTACTTATAGCTACTCAGGAACCACTTCATAATAGCACATAGAGGTCTTAAACATTAAAATCAAACACATATAGAGGTTGTGATTTGTGAATAAAGATGAAGATGTCGGTAGGACGAGTTGGGTCAGGTCGGATATCGAAGCTCCGGTGCTGGGATTGGTGTAAGGAGCAGAGAACACGTGCTTATATCATCTGGAGGTGCTTGCTTCTCTTGTTACGATGGGATGACTAATGATCGAACAAGAAGAGTGATCAAGCCTAAAATGATTCATTAAAACAGTCTGTACAAAGTGGAAGAAAATCAATGTAGATTTGGTTTAGAATGTTTTCCTTTGAGTCTTATGTATATATGGTTTTTTACGGTCAGTTTATTTAGTACACTTTCAATATATAATGTTAGTTGCTTCAGTTATATACTTTAGTCCACGTAACGTAAGTAAATCTGACCATATAAGGCTGGTATTAGATGTTTTAGCCGACTTTGTACAGTATTTTTTCACTTTATTTACATTGCTTATGATACTATTTATACTGGAATTGCATAAGCACCGATTACTTTATTGACAAAACAAAAATAATATGATCCAGGAAAAAGTTTCTCTAAGCAAATACTCGTTTAATTTGTGTGCAAAGACTAGGGCCTAGATGAGACACATTATTCGTGACTTATTAAATGGCGTTGAATCTTCCACTTCTATGTATTAATGACATAAATACAGATTTTGATTGGACATGTGAGGATACAAATTTGTTCAAATTATTATCTTTTGGTATCATCATGACATCATCATCAGGTATCATTTTCGTCACCATCATCATGATCGTTATCAATGATCATGATCATACAAAATTAAATATATGAAATCATTTATTTTATATTATTTTGCTAAAAGTATATGAAATAGTTATCGTGATCATATAATCAAGCTGGAACAGGATTACCTCCAGCCTCCAGGAGAAACTAATTAGGCCAGCGAATCACTAAGATGTTTGTTTAGCAAAAATAAAAATCACTAAGATGTTTTGATCAGCAGCCACTTCTAGTGTCTTCTTGGTTCGGTTAATCCTAAGGCCCAGTCTCCATATGTTTTGGAGATAAACGCATCCTATATATTTGTTTTGGCAATAGATGTTCTCTTTAAGATGACAGTAAGGCGAGATCGAATGACCGATAAAACTTAGTCATTGGCCCGGATACGGCCCACGCAAGATCCAAATAAAAAAATATATGAGTATTTTTGACATCTAAAGCATTTACGATGACCAAGTGACCAAGTGACCAAGTGTATGAGAAAAGAATAGCATGTATTTGTTAGTAAAATTATGATGAGAATGAGAATGAGATGCCCACGGGTTACACGCATGCATAAGATTGTAACAGTGTCTCCAAGGCTCCCACAAAAGGAGAAAGATGACAACGTACGTGGAATAATTCACTCTTTGGAATAAAAATTGTTTTAGAAATTAAAATTCTCCTTTTTGTATTTATGTGCATATAAACTGAACTTAGGCTCCATTTGTAAAAGTTGATGTTGACCTTTTATATTCTTCTTGTACTTATGGAAAAGCTAAGAATAATAAAAACCAAGACGCCTAAACAAAATGGGCTTTAAACAGAAAAAAGCACATCTAAATAATTAAAAGAGACGAAGACCTACAAAATCGAAGGCCTAAAATTCTGCAATTGTTAGATTCCAGATAGCTACGAGCATTGGTCATATATTCATATTCCCACTGTTTCATATTAATTCTTTTAGGTATGCTTTTTGATTCATGCATAATTTTATATTTTCACTGTCAAATTTCTATAAACTTGTAATTTTACATTTATCAACCATATTATATTCTACGGTGATATACATGGTCTAATGTTATTCAGTTATAAAGAAAAATCATATTAAACATCCTATCTAACGTCATATACCCGCTTAAACTCTAGTTTTGGTGTACAGAATTTAAAGATAACTAGATAAGCATGCTCCGATAAGGAATATGTAAAATGCAATCGATTGATTGAAAAAGTGGAAATAAAAGAGTAAGGAGTCACTGAAGTTGGACCAATAAAATCTGTAAATAAATACTTAGCGCACCACAAAAAGATTTACTTATTTTTATAGAAGCTTTTTAGGGAAAGATTCGCCATTTTCTCCTAAATATCATAAGAGAATTTCCATTTGCGACACAATATAATAAATATAAAGTATTGAAGGGAATAAATAAAGAGCAGCTTTTAGTATTTGCAGTGTTCAATTTCAACCATTGATTTGTCATCGTTTCATCTTTGAATTAAGCCCTAAAAACATTCTACTCATATCTACAATTCTATAGTGCCCATTTAGAGCCGATTCATCATCATTATTATTTATCTTATTACTTAATAATACAATTTATTATCAGATGAGTTCTTCTTTTTTGTCAAACTCATATGAGTTCGAAATTTGCTTTCATTAATCTTTTGTTGTGTGCGGCACACATATTGAAGCACACAGTGTGCCAACATCTCTGAATTAATCGTGGCCGGTAAGACCATGTTCAATGGTAACAACTTTTAAGAGGTGCTTAAATATTATTTAATTATTAATTTGAAGTTAAGAATTCTTATTAAGCAATTCTGATTTTGTAAGCTCCAATGGGATGCCCACTATTAAGTGTCTCAATGCAATGCAAAAGCTGCTCAGTGTCAAAGGCATCTGGAGAAAACCAAAAAAAAAACGCAGGCGTTGAAATCAACTAAAATGTTCTGAGCTGAATATCAGTGTGACAAATCAAAAAAGAACAATCAAAGAGAAATCCATGGAAGAACCAGTAAAAAATATACCAGGATGATCGAAATTGTATTCTTACGCATGCTTCAGTTCTTTAGATGTCAGACCACGGTAAAAGAATACTAAGCAACAAAACAACATCAGAGTAAAGTAAAAGAGGGGATTTTCAGGCAAAACAGTACATCACATTTCCAAGCTCCCGAGTGATTTATGCTGGTAAAATTCATGAAGAACCCAGTCGACGACGATCCAATTCCTTGCTTTGCTCTGGGAGAGATTTGAGAAGATAGAGGATTGGAGGAATCTGGAGAAAGTCGGAGGACTCCGGAGGGGTTAGAGGAAGCCGGAGGAATTAACTCCATTCGGCGGCACGATTCCAGACGATCCAGACGGAGAAATCAATGTTCCGAGTTTTTTTTTTGGATGGAGAAGAAATGAAATTTTTTCCCACGACCCAGAGAAAAAATGTTTTGCATTCACACTTGAAGCCTATCAGTTTTTGACACCTGTCTAGTAAGCACTGATGCTTAAAACGCTTGTTTGAGCGTCGATGCTTAAAATAATGGAGTATTTAATTTTTTTTTTATTTAAAATCACCTAAGCATTCCTCTTAAGCGTTCACATTGACCATGCTCTAATACTCTCTAAATTTTTCCATAGAGAAATTGTAATGGCCGAATATATAGTAATTAATACGAATGAGAATCCAAGTCCTGAACACGATTTATTTCTTTATTGCTTTCAAGCTCATCTCAAATTACTAACCCCACATATCATTATCAGAACAGTCACAATTGTAAACCATAAGAAAAAGAAAAAAAATCATCTATTTCCTCAAATAAAGAGGGAAAAAAAATTATAAACCAAAGATAAAGGGAAAGAAAGACATCAGATGCTGCCTCCTTATGACATTTGTTTAGTGCTTTTTTTTTGTTCATCACCTCCTAAGATGCGTTATGACTTGACATTAGTACAATCAAATTTAATAGATGGGTCCATGAATAATAATTATAACCAAAACAACACAAAAACACTAATAATAATAATTGATTTATTATACTAAATGAACTAATGCCTCTCATTCACAACTGTACGAAACGTCATTTATTATGATTGATGCTAACTTCTCCACACGCTTTTGCTCTTGTGTACGGAAGATCCTAAATTTTTAAACTGCGCGTGCAATTTCTCCGACTCGTTGACAGAGACATGTTAACCTCACTTGCATGCCACGCGCCTTTCCACGCGCTCATACCCTTTTTTCCTTGTTCTTTCTTCGATTCTTCCCCTTTCCCAACTTATTAAAGATTCCTCCTCTCACTTTTTTAGTTTTTGCTATAATTGTTCAAGAATTTCATTTACTTTAACTGTTATAAATTTTGTAGCTACACGGAAGAGATCTTTCTCGAAATCAGTTTGTTTCTCATAAGTAAAAGTATACTGACGAGAGTCAAACAAAGGAGCTCAAAGATGCATGTACTAAAATTTCACATAAATAGTAGATCATGTGACTTGTTTTTTTCCGTTTATAGTATCTTTCAGTTCAGCAACACATACAGTATATAGATGAGAAACACTAACGTTCATAACAGAAACAGAACATACATGTATGAAAATTAATATACATGTATTATTTGTGATACGACTAATTTCATATGATATTTTTTTTTTGTTTCTGTTAACTAATTACTTTGAAGTTTATACTTGAAATCCTTTTCTCAACAAAAAAGTTTATAATTTGAAAAAAAATCATATCTTTTAGACATTTTTTAAAACTTGTGAAACAATGAACGCAAGAAAAAGAAAAAAGAATTCCCTTATTTGAGCTAGTTTTGGGTATACATTAAGAGTGGGTTACTGCACATGTTCCAAGAAAATATATATTTTAAGGATATTTTTATTTTGTCTAATATTTGACATTGAAGGCCCGTATCAAAAAAAAAAAAATTATTAAACATGATTTATAGACTATGCTAGTGTTGTTGAGTTAATTATGGACTTGGTTTTTTATTTGCTTTTCGCATTTGCATTTAAAAGTTTGTAAAAGATGTTTAGAAACGTTAATTAAAATGATTTATTTGTAATATGAACTACTAATATCCATGATAAATTAAACATCACAAAAGAAATATAAATCAATGAAACCATAGTATGCTTCAAAATATATATTGGTCTATTGGGCATAAATACTAACTGTTGTAATCCAAAAAGACGTTTTCAAATCAGGGGAATTTAACTGTTATAATGAATTGTTTAGTTTCAGCCAATAACATGAATGCGTAAATGTAAGGCCAAGAGATACCAAAACAACGAAAAAGCAAGAATTATGTGTATCATTTAATATAAAAATAATATTTTTGTCTATTTTATGTTTTTATATCAAAAGATATAATACACATAATTTTAGATATCGTGGCGCAAAGAATGAACTTTCGGTTATCGAGAACTCGTAGTCAAATAGGTATCAAACAATTAATATAAGCGAATATAAACTATACAAACATTTAAAGACAAAAGAAAAAACACTTTGATGTTTTTCTTTTTTTCTCCGAGGTACTATACTAACACACCTGTACGTTGCAAAACCTCCGGGGAATCACCACCACACACACGAAAATTTTCAACTCTCACACACTCCAAAAAAGCTTCACATGATCAAAGACAAAAAAAACTTTTTCAAATCATATTGTGAGCCCTACTTCCACTTCCTCGGCCGTAAGACGCCGCACCAATGGTGCTCAAACAATGATCAACATCATCATTTCTCATCACTTGGCTATTATAAAACTTATCTACGATTCTCTCGCTCGGTCTCGCTACTAGATTCTCCCAAGCCTCCTCTGCTTCTTCTCCGTTACGTCTCAAGAACACTTCCGTTGCGTCCACACGGTGCATAGACAACTTCCACTTCTTGCTCAGACGTTTAATCTTTAGTAATTGTCGACAAGCTAGTATCTCTGTATTCTCTTTGATCTTTTTAACCGCTACGTCAAGCATCTTTCTTTGTGTGGCACGGTCTACTAAAGATTCGTAACGTAAGTACTCGTGAAGCTCCGGGACTCCAATAGCTCTTCGTATCCCGACAGAATAATCCGCTTTTGGATCATATATTTCTCTTACTTCCTCGAGTAATCCTGCTTCCATCATACGATCGACACGTTTTGAGACGAAGGAGTTAAGAACCGGTAAGGAAACGTCGACCCAAATGAAACAGCAATGGTAGTTGTTTAACAAGAATCCAGAAGAATGATTCGCAAGTGCTTCGATGTATGAGTTTGATCCACCGGCTACTATAGGAAGCTTGTGGTTTGCTGAGAGTGTTGAGATTTCTTGTGACGCAAGTCGGCTGAAGTCGGTGGCCGTTAGGTTTCCGGCTTCCGAGTCAAATACTCCGAGCAAGTGGTGAGGCACACCTCGGCATTCTTGAGGTGTGACTTTGTTTGTAAGGACGTCAAGGCCCTTGTAAAGTTGGATCTTGTCGGAGTTTATGATCTCTCCACGAAAACGTGTTGCTAGGTCGATGGCTAGACGGGTCTTACCGGATCCTGTAGCTCCCATCACGAAGACGACTTTTTCTTGGGGAGGGAGGAAAGAGTTGACGTTGACCATGGAGAGTTTGTTCTTGAAGCTCAAGATTGGTTGTACCTGCTTCAGTGCTGAGATTGAGAACTTCATGATGAATTGACTTTTGAGGTGGGAGAAAAGAATATGTTTTGTTGTTTTGTCTTTTTGTGTGACCACCTCAACGAGTCTTGAATCTTCAAAAAATACTTAATACTTCTGCTTAGAAAGATCAAACTTGAGTGCGAGAGAAAATTTGTGAGAGGTAGAAAATGGTTTACAAGCTTTTAAGTTTTGAGTTGTTAGGAGGCTATATATATACACATAGACAGTGCCGTGTTTTCTTTGACTGAAGCGAAGAATTAGCCTACGACCTTATTAAAATAGATTTTCGAGGCCCCATAGAATAGAAAATCCGCCTAGCTAGTAATTTCACAACTAAACATTTAAACTATAAAATAAAGCCCCTTATAGTTTGTTCTTCTTGATACCTTAATTCCAATTTGAATGAAATTCAGATGAAAAAAAAATGTTCTTCTTTTGTCTATCTAAATTTAAGTTCAAGCATGCTTAGTTATGGTTTAACTATTTTTTTATATTAAATTATCTGAAATATTAGTACTAGTTTATTATTTCTCAATTGGTCTAATAGGAACTTAAAAAATTTACCGGTCCTATGTGGATGACTTAAAATCTAAAATTTACATATTTTATTGGCAAAAAAAAATAAATCCAACCTTGTTTTTTTGGGTGTGGTAAAATTGCTTTAAGATATCTCTGAAATACTATGGACTTATTTGGATACACTGTAGAAATAAATCTTAGGGAGGTTCACTGCTCACTAACCGAGTTTTATTTTAATCCATAGTCGCATCCACATTTTTATATCCTTAATTTCATATGATCAAGTTTTAGTTAACATTTTGTAATTTATGAGCTCTTGATCTGACTAGAGTAAAAAATTTGAAATTACAAAACTTACAATTTAAGCTGTGAGAAAAAAGAAAGTTGTCAACAAATATTGTACCCTTTTTTGTTGTGGGTCATTCTCGCCGTCCTCGTCGAATCTTAAACACGTGTGTACCTGTTCCCTGTCCGAATACGGATAGTGTTCTGTTCAGATCCAATGCATAGATATCACACAGAGCTAAAGATTGAAATACATGTAACCCATTATTACACATACTCATCATGTGAATATATGTCATAATGTTTTTGTTTTCTATCGCCTTATCCCCATGTATTCATATGTGTGCGTGTGTATAATTATCCTCTAATATAAGGATGTCCTAGACGCGGAATAAATATCCTCTAATATCTCGTATGATATATATAGAATTAAAAGAGGAAGTAGATTAAAAGAGGAAGTAGAGAGAAATTTTGATTTTTCTTTGGTATATACACAAACAAACAAGAAAGACGGTGTTATGGAGTTTATCTTCCGTCATAATTTGGAGGCTTTACGTCATATCGGACGCAAAGCTGTTTCCAAGCTAGTGTGGGACACCACAAAACTTAAAATCAATCAAGATTTTAATAATAACATTGCCCCCACATCTTTTATCATCTTATCGTATAATTTTATATATTACTTACTATATCACACGAGCGGGAAAATTAAATAACGCTGTTCCACCTCAATCTGTGGCCACGTATGTAGAGGTGAGGGCTCCTAAGATAAAATACGAAAGTCATAGTTTAAAGCTCCAATACAACCTAAGCTCACTATTTTGTGTTTATTTAGTAAAACTAAAAAACAAACATTAGTATTGTTATTTCTACTTTCTACGGTTCTACCCTATAGCAATACATTTCAGTTGTCAGCAGCCAATTTATGCTTTGTTTGGCTATCTTTCGTCGTAGTGGTAAACGCTTCTACCATTTAAAAAGTAAATAATAAAAAGTAGTTAAGAAACAACTTGCATAGATTGAAAAAAATATATATCGATAGGAATACGCTTTTCTTATGATTTTCATCAGTTGTTTTGAGGCAGTGAACCTGTTTATGAACAAAACAAAATTGTAAAACATCTAATGATTTGAAATGAAGGGAATACAAATCTTTGTTTTTTAATCTATGATTAGTCAAATCCAACAAAGAGTTTGTGGTTTAAAATTAGGATTCCCAAGGCTCTCAGTGAGTATTTTATTACTAATATATTCTCACTTTGTTCTTTGATTCTATCCGTAGAATGAAACAACGTTGCCAATTTGGGTGGATTTGATATTTTCGGAAATCAGTGGAAAACGAGAATTTATTTTTCCATTTAGTGGGTTCTGATGCTTAATTACACTTATGTCGTTAATACAAAAATTTTAATTTTGTTTTCTAATTAACTAACTGCTTTTTTCTTTATATAAACAAAATTGATTAAATGCTTTCACATAAAAGTAATAGGAGTATTAAATTCTGGCTAAAAACAAAACAAAACTGGACCCGAATAGCATTAAATAAATCACAATCACGTCAAAAAATTCCTAATTACAATTAGTGACATTTTGAGAAAATTATAGAAGATAACCAATATTTTACACTCGAGAAGCTAAACGATGGATGTATTAGTGACCACTATAGCTGAAGAAAATGATGAGGTGAAAATTGGTCAAACCACTAGTTAAAAGATTAGTTATCGTACATGCTTTAAAAAGAAAAAATAATGATAATTTGATCAGAGAATGCGACAGTTACTGTTGAATGAAGCGTTCTATAACATCGGAAAAAGGCTTGTTCTTTCACAAACGAGTCCATAGGAGACAACATTTGTAAAGTATGTTGTAGTTAATTGTTCATGAAAGGTATACGGATTAAACGGATTCATAAGATGGCTTTAGGCATCAACTTTTTTCTATACATCTTAAGTTTCTAAGGAGCTGATGGTTATGGCTTACTGCATCTATTAGTATTCTTGGTTTGTGAGGTTGCTGTTATGGCTTACTGCATCTAGTATTCTTGGTTTGTGAGGTTGCTGTTATGATGTTGATGAGTTATAGAGGATTGTGAACGATAGATTCTCATATCTCTGATGTTATTGAGAAATGTGTGTAAAAACCTTAGATATCACTTAATTTAGATGTTCATACTGTATTATAAAACAAAGAGTAGTAATTATTTTACCAATTATAATTTCTTAAAAAGATTGTTTTATATATCCACATTCACTATTTGAATTTTTGATCACCAATATTCTATTTTTCTTAGAAATCAAGATATTACAAATATTTCACTTATAAAGTTATATCTTTTCATCGTAAACATCGTTATACATCGGCGGTATGAGCTTATAGCACTAATACTACTTATAACTTCTCCACCATCATAATCCATAGACTTTAATGTATATTTTCAATTATGTGGAACTATATTTGTCTGACCTTAGATGCACTACTTCATTTTTTCTTAAACAAATATCAGCTGAACTATATTTTTTACTATGAAATTTTTTCCATCTTTTTATATCCTCACTAAAACTGTAATTATTTTTGTTTACTGGATTAAAAGATTATTAAAGTCAAGATATACCCCAAAATAAGTACCAAACCGATGATTTATACAAGATAAAATACTTTGTGTTGTTAAGTTTCAAAAATCGTCTGTTCTAATGTGATATAGCCAAGTTAGCATCTTGTCCTCATCGATTTTATCTATTCTATAAAAAATTGCATGTAAGCAAAAATCACTTTATTTTCTAGCTATCTAATTATTTATTCTTCTACTAGATTACATTATTTTTTATATACAGTTTTTTTAATAGGTGGTTTAAGTCAACTCGTGTAGGAATAGTCATATGACCTATGGGATTTCACTAGACTTGATTAAGATATTGCACCTCGACATAATGTGCCTCCTCACAGATTTCTTTATAAGTGTTAAGTATCATTTTAAAATTGGATTTAACAATATCATACTAAATTCATAATGGAGCATAATCATTAGCTTATGACCGTCAAAGCAGTGGCTCTAGTTACTTAAGGTTGCTTGCTTAAATTTATTAAGATTATCTTCATTGCATGGTTTGTCCTCCACCTCAAGAGTTATTATTATTCCCTCTCGTTCGATTAGCCGCTTCTTTAAATCCCAGTTTATGTTTATGATTCGTAAAAAAAAAAATCGTTATTATTCTTTAGAGAATAAAGAAAATGGATACTCAATTGGGATTTTTCAACGTTGGAACGATGAACTCAACGCTATGAATTAGAAATATGAATCTCAGGAAAAGGAAATATTACTGATAGTCAATATTAAACAAAACAATAAAAGCATTGAGAAACCCCATTTTAGATTGGAAGATTCTTTAAGCCGATAACTGTTTACCACAAAGTCTTATTTTTTAAGCAACAAATAGAAAAATTATAGTTAAAAATTGCAAAGACGAAAATTAGAATTGCTATTACATTAAAAATGAACCAATATAAATTGTATATGTTTTTTAAAGGTTAATTTGTGATATAAATCCTTATTCCGAACAAAAAATACAAAAATTTATACTTAAAAAATCTTTTGCATTTTTTTGCATAATACTTGTTGCATAATATTTTTTGCATAATACTTTTTTCATAATATTTTTTGCAAGCCATCGTTAGTTCTATGATATCCCTACCAGTATATAACTAAAACAATTGATAATGAATGCGCTACATATATTAACTTAAATTAAATATACCAAAAAGTAAAAAGAAGCGATGGAAAAGAGCACAAATGATCGCATCATACGTGTAACCACACAATCTATGGCATTAGATAAGTATTTGTTTATGTACTTAAAGTTTTCGTCTTTACATTTATAAATTCTAATGGAAGAATCTTTAGGTAACATTATAAGTTTCTTTAACATGATCTATAGGTATTTGTTTATGTACCCAAAGTTTTCGTCTTTACTGAACAACTTGGCCAAATTTTTTTTTTTTGTTTGAGAAAGGCTTAACTTGGCCAAAGTTATATATATTATCTATGCAATATACTTTTTTCAACATCATCTATCATCTATACTTTTTTTTCTCATTATGAAATGAAAAACTATAGTGGAAGTAAGTCAGTAACATTGTTACTGGTGTTGTTAGTGATATTTGGAACGATAAAGATCCATAATCGTGGACAGTAGAATTTGAATTTCCAATTAAAGAGGGCTTAAATTGTCAAAAAAGGGAAAAACAAATTCTGATGCGAAGTGTTGGTGATTACATCATAATAAACTAATAATGATTGCACAAGAAGTCGTTGACTCATTGTTATTCTGAGCGTGCGATTTGTCATCATTAACGAGTTCAATTTGTTAAATTGCTGAAGTATTTGTGGGAAAACAGAAAAGTGTTGATGATTTAATGATGGTGATGGTATATAAAATATTCTTAGTATAGGAAACAAATAGTGGAACGAATCCATTATATATATATATATATATATATATATGGACAGTGAATTTTTCACTGTTTCATTATTTTGTAAGAGTAAACCATGAACTATAATTTATAATTAATTTACATAGTAATTGTTAATGTGTAAACAGACACAATCGGTGTATATTTAATTTTAGTCAATGGAGATTTATGTCAATTTCTTTCCAATAGACCACCGATAGTGTACAACGGTATACGTGCATGCATTAAGTCAAAACTTGCAATACAAATGGACTGTCTTTCTACGCGTATGGACTATAGAAGAATACTTATGTCCCAAGCAGCGTAATTAATTTAATAGAATATATATAAGAATAACTATTATTAAAATAATGACTAATCATATAAATTCTTAAGTGTCGTTAGGGGTTAGTATTCTACAAAAAAAATAACTAAACATATTTTTCTCTTTTTGTTTATATTCCGTAAATAACTTATGAACCTTTCATAAATCGAAGTATATTCTAAATTTTAATCAGAATAATCGCATAGTTCTATTTCTTTTGTTTTGATATTTGAAAAAAAAATATTATGATTCATTTTATTTTTGTTCATCAAAAAATTTTGCTTATTATTTTTTAGTTTTGTTTTATTTCTATTTTCCATTCAATTTGAAACAAAACTAAAATAAGATAAATTTATACATTTCAATTATTCAGATTTTCGACCTATTTCCAGGCTAAAGCTAGGCAATGGGCTAGGAAAGCCAACTTTTTAATTTTGTAATAGGCCACGGATTTTATTTTTGATTAATAGTTTATAGGTTTCAAAATTTAAAAATTATATTTTTCTTTAATTTTTTTTCCATTAAAAAAACTGTTTGCATCACAAAAAATCACATATTTTTTCTCAACTCGGTCCAGACCGGGGCTGCCCGTTTCCGTAAAGTTATCATGACTTTCCATTTGTTAACCCCTAAACGGCTAAACAAAACATTATTATGTTAAAATAACAATATTTTTTCCTATTTATTGCTCTTATATTGGTTTTATTTATTTGCTAAAGTTCGTTCGTTTCCATATCTAATTGAGTATGGTTTGAAATCATGGTTACGATTGCGTTTGGTTTAAAATGTATATAACTGTTGCATATAAAACTGAAAAACAAAAATGTTGAAGAAGAGTCCGTAGGGTTAGGTTTAGATTATCGAGAAGGTATAAGCCTAATGCGGATGATAGAGACGGTTAACTGAATAAAAAGCTTAGTTAGGCTTTGAACTCAAATATGGATCAGTCAATATCATTTAAAAGTTGGTAGGTTAAAAAAAAATACGCCACTTTAATCATCATTTTGGACTGCCCTCCTACGCAAATATAACTTAACAAAACTCTTTTGGCCTAAATACCTAGTAATTAACAATAAGAACAGAAGAATATTCACCGAAAAGTGAGGGGACGTGTTCTTATCTGCCATTCTTTTACCTGCATTGTTTTACAGTTCTATGCCATTTTAGCTTTCTTAAAAACGAAATTCATTTTGAAAACCTACAATTAAATACCAAAATGATTTTTTTTTTTTTTAAAAAAAGTCTAAACCAATTTCTGACCGTTGAAAAGCACACACTGTTCGAAGCAGCAACAAAACTAAACAGGTTTTAGGTTGTTAGTAATCAGAGATAAGACGAAAATGTGTTTCCTCATCTCTAAATACTCTTTTCTTTTGCTGCAGAAATTTTAAGATAACAAAATGATCTCGATAAATATAAGCGTAGAAAAAAACATTCAGAAATAGATTCTAACGAAAAACAAAACTCATGTTACACTGCAAAATCATCTCATCTTCCTCGCGTTGAAACTGTTGTCGACGCAGCCACGAGTGGTTTTGTGAGTTTTACTCAGACTCTTTTTTCTTTTTGGAAGCAGACCCTTCTTCCTTGTTCTTCCGCTTAGACTCTCTTCGCTCTCTCTTCACTCCCTTGGATTTATCAGCCAATGGCATTTTTTGAAGCTGCACAGAGATTGAAACAATCAGTTAAAAGATAATGAATGATCTCAAGAAATTGGATATATATACATATGTATCTGCTTTGCATATTTTATGTGTACTATCTTTCTTACCTCCTGATCTGGAACATAAATCTTCCCAAGCTTCCCTCGAACTTCATCTTGATCAACGTTTTTAATCTGTAGAATTGGATACAAAACGATAATGATTGGTCATCCATTTCTCTAAATTTTGAAGGAAACATAAGATGAAAGTTTAGAAATCGTTTGTTTGTTTTACCTTCTTCTTAGGCTTATCCTTGGATGTTTTCATTGCTTCTTTTCTTAAGCCTTCGTTGGGAAGACGATTACGCCGGATAACCAAGTCCATTGATGGACCGACTTCAACAAGCTCTATTTTAGGCACGATGGTCCCTGACTTTTTAAGCTTAATCGCGCAATGAGTGAGAAAAACCTTGTTTGGTGATATCGCTGAACATATGTAAGCACGATCTAATCCAGTAAGATTTAGATTATCAACAACCTGCAGACAAATAATTCCACTTCTTTCAGATTCTGTTATAAGCCAAATACATTCATAATCAGAATCAAGAACCATTAACGTGAAATCATATTCCTCGACTTTGGTTAAAAGCAGGCCATAAGGGTCAAACATTTCACGAAAGCATACCTCGCCTCGAAACAGATCAGTCAGGACTTCTTTTAGTTGCTTCAGCTCTTGAACATTCTCAAACCCTTCTCCAGTAAAGCAAATGAAAGGCTTGGATCCTTCATGAGGTGCTATTTTCTTGTCATAGGAAAACGATAGCAGCGATTTAAAGTTCTCAATCCCAACTTCTATAAGATCATAGACGCGGTGGTCGTACATTCTTCCAAGTAAAAGATTGTCAGGTCGTTTCTTTGAGTGAGAGCCATACTGCAACACAAACCATTACCCAAACCAATGTTAAAGACTCACATCAAAGTAAGTTTGTAGTAAAGCTACCACAAAAGAAAATATACAAAGGCAAACAAGATAGCAACAGGATGCCTTAATATGAACTTATATTCACAGGTTCTACAAATAATCAAGAATCTAAATAGAAATGTCTAAGATAATTGCAGAAGAATCAAGAATCTATGCAGAGAGATCTCAATTTTGTCACACCATAGCTGCAGCAGCTGCCAAAAGCTTTTCAAAATGATTCTATTATGAAGAATATAAACTTACCACAAAAATGCTACAATCTGTTTTGAGAGAGAAGAACTCCAATGAGGTTTCACCTCCACTCTCAAATGGCCTAATATTCTCATTCCTCCTCGAGTATTTAATGGCTCCTCCCTTCTTAAGACGGTACAGCTCCATCAGTACAGTGCTAATCGTAGCGCTCGTCTTCGTTCCATGAAGTATCAATGTCTTCTTCCCCGTCTCAACCTGGAAAATTCCGAGATTTAGGGCAGGTTTATGTCAACTAATCAGATGCAAAGTGTGTAACTTTCGAGAGATTCTTCAGAAATTGAATTCCCATATAGATATCAAAACAACTAATTAAAACAGCAACATGATTGATTACTTCTCGTTCTGTGAGCTTAAAATCTGTTTCCTATCTTATTCTCAGATTTTCAGAGAAACGAATCAAATGCATAAGAAGGAGATTAAGAAAACTCACCAACTTAGGAGCTCGCTTTTCGAGTACACGCTTGGCTTTGCCAGTCTTCGGAGTTCGTATTTCCATCATGACTGTTAAAATCTCCGGCAACTTCCACAAAACGCGACGGCTCGGAAAGAAAGAGGAAGAAGAAGAGGTTTTTCGACAATTGATTTGGGAGCCTAGGGTTTTAACTTCACAATTGGAAGCAAATTGTAGTATAGTCCTAACGTTATTACTTGTTTTCTAATTCACCCCAAACTCTTTTTTTGTGTTCAAAATAAGACCCCAAAGTTTAGCTGGGTCAACGACGGGCTGAAATTAAAAGTATTGATGGCCCATGAAACTTTTACGTAATTAACATTTTGGACATTGATTTACAAAAGCTTCACAGATTTACAACGACATTGATGAAATATTGAAACTTTACAGAGTCGTTTCCAAGTTTGAGTTTGTCAAGGAGAATCAACAAAAGATATGATGATGCTTCGTGTGAGATTTACAAGTTTCCCCAAAGACACGATCTTGGGTGAACTCTTCAGGCTTGACATTGTGCAATCGGTTCTTGCTTCTCTGTTTTATAGAGAGAGAGGAAGATGCATGTAAGAGTTTATTTACATGAACTGTCTTGTTCCTTTCTCCACAACACTTGCTTTTCATCCTCAAATGGAACAAGTCTTGTCACTCAAATCTTCCTTTACTATTTAAAAATAATCTCCAGCTTAGATTCACCACAGGGATTACAAGAACAGGACCAAATAGTTTTACACACCAAGATGTCATAAGTAAGTGTGCATATGAGTTGAGAAATACAGAGAAGACATACCTTGCAAAGACTTTTCGAGGTCTTGTAATTGCCTGATGAAACCGGCATTAGGACTAGCAACGGGTCTTTTGCTCTTAACATGTTGCATTGCTTGTGTTAAGGTCATTCCGTGTTTCTTCATGAGGTAAGCAACAACTATAGTGACACTGCAAAGTGAACAAAAGAGCAAAACATTGAGGTCCATCAAACAAAACAAGTTCTGTTCCAAATTTGGGTTACCAAAACCACTTGATGGCTGAATATCTAAGAAACCATACAAACAAATAAACAAAAACTGACCTCCGTGATTTTCCAACGAAGCAATGGACAAGCACACTACCTCCTTGTCTCTTGGCTTCATCGATGAAATCAACACACTCATCGAAGTAAATTTCCAAATTCGTGTCTTCCTTATCCACAACTATCACATACAAGCAAGAAGGTAAGCCACTCAATCCCAAAAGGGCACAAAAACACATTTTAAAAGGTGAAAACTTTATAAAGATCATTATGTTATTATACCTCGAACAACCTTGTAGACAAAGTCATCAGGGTGAGCTGGTCTCAACGAGCTAGCTACAGTTAAGATATGTGTAACGTTGTAAGACTTCAATACATTCTTGTTGCAGGCTGCTGCTACGGATCCAAGATAGAGACCCTGAAAGGTTGATTCAATCAAAAAATGGACCATGAGAAACAAAGAAACAATGGCTAAAAAAAAATGAAGTCTTTAAAGTGGACCTCTTCAATTTGGGATGGGACATTGTCTTCTCTATAGGTACGAGCAACTTTGATAACACGAACAAGTGCTTGTATCTGATTCTTCACGGTTTCGTTATACTGATCCATCGCTGGTAAAGAAGAATCGGATCCTCTGTCTCTAGAACTCCTGAAAATGGAAATGAAATCACATCGACATATTAAAATTACAGAATCGAAAAATCGATTCAACAAATTTCGATCGTATAAGGAAATCAAAATCCTGGTCAGCGGAAATTGGGTATGAAATTGGATTTTTGCAGATATGAAAAACCAAAATCTACGAGTTTTGCATCATCATGTGAAAGTCTGCAACTATTGACTAGTAATGGGATTTTTAACATCAAAAGTTGAATTCGATACTCTGGATAATATACGGAGAAGGAAGAAGATCTTACATTGAAGAAGATCTAACAAACAAGAAGAAGAAGAAAACGAATCGGGGAAAATGGTGGGTGAAATTCGAAACTGCATGGTCTCCAGATTTTTTGGGAAGGAGGAGAGGGAAAAGGGGCTAAAAGATAAATTTTCTTTTCTCAAGGACAAAATATATAATTATTTATTTATTTATCCCAGTCCTATTATAGTAATAAAATTGAAGATTGATGCTTTTTCTTTTTTTTTTGGGGACGAAGAACATTGAGTCTTATGATACTGTTGTTTGTAGGACTTTTCCGACTAAAACTATAAATCGTTTCAATTTCGGGAAATTGCGCGGCAAGCGTGAAGCAGGAACAGAGGTTTTTCGTTTTTTTTTTGGTTTTTTTTTCGATGGATTTTGAAGTCAACGAGTACGGGAATTCTTTGCAATTAAGCTAAAGCTTTTGAGTCTTCGTCTTCCTAATAGAAGTTTCCGAGATTCATAGGAATCAATGGGTCAATCTCAAATTGGTCAAGTGGGGTCTATCTGTCTATCGTTTCCCCTTCTTAAATATTCAGCCTTTCAGCGAATATTTAGAATCTACAGACAAAATCTGAGAGCTTTATCACTTTTCTGAATCTGGGTTTTCTCTAGTTTTTGCCAAAGATGAACAAGGTGGCTGAATTGGGACCAGGTGCTTTAGCCTCTGAGCTCCTGAAATCGCTGATTACAGAGGCGAAGAGGGTGGTGGAGTTCAAATCCGTGTATAAGGATCTCGCGTCGATGATGGAAGAATTGCGTCCGATAATCGAAGAGATCGAAAAGTTGCAAAAGGTCGAGGAACTAAAGAATCTCAAGGACACAATCAACAAAGCTCGTGTACTGGTTGAGAAATGTTCACGCGTCCAGCGATGGAACTTTTTCTTGAAATCTTATTACAACAGGAAAATCGTGAGAATCAATAAGGAGATGATAAACTTCTGTCAGGTTCAGATGCAGCTTCTTCAATACAAGAACCAGTTGCAGACTGGTAAAAAGCTCGATCGTTTGAATGCTCAAAGACCGTGCGATTATTGGTGTTGCTGTTGGTGTTGCTGTTGTCCATGTTTTTTTACCGGACCCGAATGACTCGGAAAGTTTTTTTGGGTTGCCGGATCACTGGTCAACCTGGATCAATCTCAGTCAACTGCGGATGTTTGTTTTTTTCTTTATAAATTTTATCATTTTTGTTACATTTTTTCTGCTGAATAAAAAAACAGAGTGTTTTAAATTATGTCACTGAATCAAATTAATTATCATATATCTTTTTTAGTATAATTTTTATTTTTTTCAATAAAATCTATACTATTATTTACAAAGTTAAAAATCTTAAATATCATCTCTACAATAATCGTCCAACGTATCATTAATAAAAAAAATATTATGTGGTGTTATCATTAGTTATCATTGATTGATCATTAATCCTACGTGTTTACATATGACATGAATTTTCTTTCAATAATGGACCAACTAATTTGTTTATGCATGGGTCATCAATTTTGTTCTTGATCATAGCCACCGATTCTGGTAATGTGGTACCAACGTCGAAACCTTAAACCCTAAAACATCTATCATATTATATATATCTTGTATCATCTACATATTTTTAACATATAACAACCGTCTTCTAAAATCTAGCAACTTTTACAAAACTCGTCCACCTCATTTTCACAAATTTATCTTTTGTATATCTCAATCTGGTTTAAATTATATCATTTGATTAGTTGGTTGTTCTTCTGTGCTAACATTTTTAAATGTTTTATTCCGATCATGATTCTTCTATGCTAACTGGTCAAATATCTATGTTTTTTCTCTATTGTGTTCTATATTACTATGCATCACATCTACCTTATTTTTTAACCCATGTTTTACTCTTTATATGATTTATCATCAAGATATCATATTTGTGTTCTTTGTTTTGCTTTGTAATTCTATATATAAAATTTGTTGCTTCCGTATTAGATATTCATGTTCTTTTTTATTAAGTTTTTCCTATAGATATATTTGAGTTATTGTTCGTAAATATAAATTTTTGTTTACCCCTGATAAGAGATAAAACCAGGTGAAGGAAGGAGAGTCACAAATACAAAGGAAGAAGAATGTTTGCTAGAAAAATATTCAGGTCGTAATTTTCATCATCCTTGTAATTTGTTTCAGCTTGCTGGAACTACATCGTAGTATCGAATAAATTGATGATTCTCTGACACCAGAATCTAAGAAACATATATGACTGAAGTTCTTGTGAATTGAAGAATGAACATACTCACATGTTGCATTTCTTATATGTTTTGATGTGTAACAAGTAATTCTTGTGTCGTATAACTTCGTTTCTTTAAAATTTTAGTTTTTGAATTAAATTTATCCTAAAACAGTCCGTCCTTTGATTGCTTCTCTAAAACCCAAATCTTACAAGACATACCTTATACGGTATCTTCGAAGAAGAGTTGAAGAATGAGATGAAATCTTGAATAGGTTTCCATGTTCAGAAAACTCAAATCAGATTGTTATGTGTTTCTGAAGTTCATTGGTTTACTTGAACACGAGCCAACAGAGATTGAACACTCAGACATTGAATTCAACAATACTAAAACACATCTGAACCCCTGACTGAAATGCGTGAGGAAAACACGATAGCTAAAGAAAACAATGGGTGAAACAAGGAAAGATAGTTGAATGGCGAAGAAATATGTGATTGATATAAAAAAAGTGGAAAAAGATGACAAAGGCTTGAAGGTAAAGAAGAGAACAAAAGAGAGAATTAAGGAGATAAGGCTAAAGCTATGTTGTAAAATTTATCATTAATTTAAAAAGAATAAAAAGAAGAAAAAGAAGGGAAAACCTAAGGAGATCTAAGTTATGAATATAGAGAGGGAGGAATGCAGAGAGAAAGAGACAGAGAGATGGAGAGAGAGGTAGAGAAAGGGAGATACAAAGATAGGGGGAGAGGGAGAGGGGGAAAGAAGGAGATACAAAAATAAGGGGAGAAGGAGGGCGAGAGAGACAGACAGAGAAAGAGAGAGAGAGATGAAATTATTGTCCATGCAAGTAAACGAATCAGAATACCGAGGCGAAAGAAATAAGAATCGGAAAACAATCATTTTGAAAAGATGAACACAATGAAAACTAAGAGGAAAGAAAAGACAACAAAATCAAAATAAAAAGTTGGAGAGACATAGACGATGATGAAGAAAAGGATGAAGGATAAGAAGATTGAAAGATATGTAAGAGGAAGAAGAAGATGTCAAAGAAGAAGAAGTATAAGTAGAAGTCAAAGACGATGAAGAAGAAGCAGGAAAAAATGAGGAAGAAGAAACTCTAAAAGATGAATAAAAGGAAGAAGATAAAAATGAATTTGATGAGAAAGAAGAAGAAGAAGAGCACTACAAGAAAACATCAAAAATTCCAAAATTTTTTTTTAACAATAATAGTCGTTGGAAAATTTCCAACAAAAATCTTACAATAGTTTAACAAAAATTAATATCGTTGGAAACTCGTCACAATATTCCAACAAATATGATTTTTCAAAATTGTGTCAGATAACTCGTCAGTAAATTGTCAAAAATTTCTAATAAAATAAAGCTCGTCAGAAATTACCAACGAAATTTAAGTTGTTAAAAATTACTGATATATTATTCGTCGGAAATTTATCAGTTTGTCGGGGGCTAATTTCCAACAATTTGCCGACTAAATTTTTTGTTGGAACTGTTCTGATTATCTTTATCACTAAAAGAATATCGAAATCGTAATTTTTGTTGAAACGGTTGGACCACTAGATCAATTAATTAATATTTTTATTAGAAATAATATGAATATAATATTAATTATCTTCAAGATAATATATGAATCACATACAACATAATGATAATCAACTAAAATTCAAAAATCGAACTTGCTATTATATAGATAAGTAACAAAATTCTCTATAGTAAAAAAAATATATATTATATATATTTATTATATTTTAAAAAAATATCATGGTCGAAAAAAAAGAAACAATAGAAAAAAAAAACTATTGATAAAAGAAAAAAACTTCTTATTGTGAATAAAGAATCTGATGGATTAAAATAATTGAAAGTTACAATTTTATTCAGAATCTGATGAGTCGTTTGATAGACTAGAATCATCAGAGTCATAAAATTCTCCAACATTGGCATCATCTTCCTCATCTATATCATCAAGTAATTGATTTTCAACATCCACCAATATTGTGTCTTCGAGAGAATGTTCAACCACAGTAGTGACACCTATTGAATTTTGTTGTAATGGATCATGATCCTTCACTCCATCTATTCTTCCCCGTGGATTAATTTGTGCAACTGTGATTCATGGATTGTTGATTTGCTTAACTCTAGGATATGGAAGGTAGCACACTTGGTCGGCTTGGGATGCAAGAATAAATGGATCATACCTATTTAGTTTTCCATTTGAATTAATCTCTGTAACGCCAAATTTGGTAAGCTTAAACACCACGTCCATTTGTAGGATTATACCATTTGCACTTGAAAAGTACACATTTCAAGTTGATGAATCCAGGATATTCAACTTCTATAATGTCTTCTATCACACCATAGTAGTCTGTATCCGTCGTATGCACAACAACCCCATAGTTCACCGTCTGCCTATTGTTTGAAGTGGTTCTTTTCTTAAACACATATCCTCTAGTGCAATATATTGGCGACGAAATCGTTTCTGAAAGTGGTCCTCCGACTAACTCTTCCAGCCAAGTTGGATTTACTTCACCCCTTGTAGACGCTGATTGAGCCTGAAATATTAAATACTAATGTAGCCACTTGCACATTTCAATAACTAAATGATTAAAGGAAAATAATTAACTCACGTAGAATTTTAGCCACTTTGCAAATTCTTCTTGTTTCATGATTTCAATTTCAGAATCACTTTTGCGTGGGTGTGCTTCCTTGACTTGTTTAACAAATATGCTGATAAATTATACAAAGAAGTTAATACCTACAACACAAAAAATGAATAATTTTTTATTAAGTAATAAAATACCTCTCGTATGATAATACTTCTTCACAATTACGAAGTATATAAGTATGTATATGGTTATACTCTTCGTCTGACAACCAAACAGA